TAATAATAATATATATAATAAAGGCATAAATATAAAATATAAAATAACCACACCGTCAACAAAGTGACGGGTTATACTATATACACTAGTTGAAAGGAAAAACAGCTTTAGAGGTTCACCTTAGCTGTGCTTAATAAAGAACACACAAAATTAATTCTATCTTTTACTGATGAATATGAAGCTAAAATGTAATCAATGAATTTGAAGCATGGTTTTCCAAATCCTATTATTATTATAATTAGCGACTTTTTCTACAAAACCCTTAAGGCCTCTATAGTAATAGTCAACAAAATGAGCATAGGAATACACAATGCGAACTGCATTTATCAGTATTAGAAGAAGTTAATACTTAATACTAAGGGAAAAGATGAGATGTTTTAAATCAGAGTATAAGATATCAGAGCAGACGCTAAATAATAAATCTTCACGAAAAATTTTATTTGCATCTAAGAAAGGATTCATGGAATTGGGCTTTTGTGTCAATGACCAGAACTGGGCGAAGAGGCAATTTCACTCGTGAGCATTGGGAATTCCATAAATTTCAGACGGGTGATTAACTACTTATACTGTAAAACCCTCCGAACTACATATATTTATCAAAATCTCATTGGGATGAAGTATCCAACATCATCTTTACCATTAGTATTAGACGAATATTAGATATATGTATGATCATACTAATCAGGCAAACCAGAAGAGCCTAGTTGCTTCTTTATTCTATCGGGATTAGTATTATAGTGAACCACTAATCCCTATATTGAATAGGAATAATCGCTTAAGTGGAATGCATTTTACCTAATACTAAAGGCTTCCGAATAACCGTCTAGTTGGGCGACAGGAAGTATAAAATGCTGGACATTTATTGACAAAGTGACAGTATCATGGTGTTAAGCACCATGATGATTTTGAGAATATTGACAGATTCCTTACGACCGTAGCTGTTTTTTTGGTTCTTGGGACGTTTTGACATCGAATAGAGAGTTATTAAGTGGGCCGGTCGCTGCGAGAAGTTCAAGTAATATACAAGTCTGATCGTCTCTCGGTTTGTACCTTTCGTAACTACAAATTTTCATGCTTCCTATTCTATTAGAAATTTACTAACAAAGGGTTCTTTTATGGAATTGGCTAATATTTTTTTCACGTGCGGTCCCTGATTGCTAGTAATATATACACACACTTGCTGCTCACGACTCCTCAATCATGTCAACTAGTTCTATTCACGAAGCCTTTCGAAATAAGCAAGCATCGAAATTTCTCGAGCCATGCGAAGAGCAATCGCGCGCTTCATATAAATGCCTAGACCGAAATAATTATGACAAGAAGAAATGTAGAAAGTATTTTCTTGAATACAAGGAATGCAAACGAAAATGGGTACATAAGTGTCGCTTTCGGGATCTCTTGTCCAGCAACATGCTCACTTGATCTCTTTTAATTCTAGCTCGAAGAACGTAAGGAGTTACGTCGTCAAGGGCTTTTGTGAGAAATGCTTATCTGAGAATTATAAGTTTTACCGCTTGTTTATTTTTAACATGTTTAAATGGAAAACGGCTTCGTGCAAACCTTGACAACGATTCAAGAGCTATCATTATTCATTAAGGCGACAAGTTTTAATACATATAACGTAGGAAATAATTACTATAAAAGTCTCAATTTAAACAGTTTCTTCAAACCCGACACAAGGAGAATCTATTGCAGATTCTGGCTCTCTATATTGACAACGAAGCTAAGACTGTCTAGTCCTCCCGATATTTACGACCTCTATCTTCTCTATCACGACGATAATCCCTGCTACTTCGTCGTTCATTATCCTGGTCACGGTCATAATCTCGTTCATCTCGTCGGGCGTCCCTGTCTTTGTATCTATCCTTTCTATAATTTCGTGAATATGGTTCGTGACGATGATGTTCTCGTCGATAGTCTCTATGACCTGAATCACGCAATGCATTACGTGATTTCTGGTGAAATAAATGCCGACTTTTTGTTTAAAACTTTGAACAACAAAATAATCGATAAAGATAAAACAGATTGCTACCTTCCATTCTTCTAACGTTTCTCGAATCTGCTTATAGCCCGTGTGCTGCTTCCCCGACCAATGCGCTTCCAAACTTGGGAAGCCGGGTGAGCACGAATAAATTTACCAGTTACGAAGTTAACTGATTAGCATAAATGTTCTGCTTCTTCCAAGAAGCCTGGCAGCATTCTTAGATACGTTATTACGTGTGGACTTACCGGTTAGATGTATCGTTTGTTACTAGAAATGCACCGCATACATCACATACTAGCATTCGTCGTTCTTGCTTGAACAATGGATTTGAATCATCGTTCTAGTAGTTAAATTAAAAAGGTACGGGCAATTGGTTTCATGGAATCGGTTTGTGAAAATTAAAAAGGTTAGTCAACGCGGAAAAAAAATTAAAAGTCTACCGCTTTGCATAAGTTTCGCCTTGATTTTTGCATTCAATATATAGAGCGTGCGATAGCTAAGGCTTTATGCAAATGTCAACTTCACAACGCTGACATATTTCACATCAATCGATAAAATGCTAAAAGCACAGGGGTTAGACCAACAGAAGTCAAACAGGCGTCTTGAAAGTTTTCCAAATGTGAAACGAGATTTGCACCAACGACAAGATTTACCTCGCGTCGTTCTATTAATTCATTTGAGCCTCATTCGTCGTCGATTATGTCTATATCATCTGTTGATTAACCAAATACTCACGTTTCGTAAGTACTCCAACTCCTTCTGGGCCGCCTCCACTTCTTTCGTCAGACTTTGAGCTTCCTGAACACGTCCTTCCTCTCCGGCTGCCTCAATCTTCACGAAGAACCAGGTTTAGCGGGATTGAACGTTATACCTGAACATGTAAGAAATTAACGCTACCTTTGATAGCAAGTCTTTGATTTTCTCGTCCAAGATCACCATTTTTTCCTCCTTTTCATCTTTATTAGGATTTAAAAGCTGGAGTGAAAAGAAAGGGCTACATTAGTAACACTAGTTGTTCGCAGCCAACCGTAACCGTCCGTTCTCCTAAATTTGGAGCCCGCCTTCATTGAATCAGCAAGAAAACATACCGAGTCGTCTGGACGGACACTCAAACGTTCATTGCCCTTGCGAATTTTCTTATCCAATTCATTACAGAGACCTTGCAAATGGTCATAAAATTTAATCTCATATCCATACTTGTTCTTGTCGGCAGCTTCTTGGTATCTGATGCAAATAACGATATAGTACGGTACGGCTTTTGTTGTCAAATCAATTCCATGCATCCCCCGAAATCAAAAGCGAAGTGCGAAAAGGCTTACTGTTTGCGCAGTTTTTCATCGTGAACTTTTGTACAAGGACCTTAATAAACCTATAGTATTAGTAATGTGATTCACGTAAAACTAGCTTCAAAAAAAAGTAACTAACCGAGATCTGACTTTGTATTTGTAAAAAGGGAATTAGGGCAAAACTGCACCAAGAAGTTTTTGCAGACAGCATCATCCCAGAAATTATATTTCGATTTAGTTTCGAAGGGAGCCATAAGCTCTTCAAGCAGCTGCCGCTGATAGTCCATTGACGTTAGCTAAATCAGTGACAACAAACACCTTGGCGAGGAGAGTTTAAGACAAAGCATAGTAATAGAGCGCAGATTTGATCTCATTGGCCGACAATAATCAACGTTATTAATGAATTTGATTGGTTAATTAAAAATACATTTACCTCGATCTTGTTATAATTAATAATGCCCATATTTTATGCTGGCTGAATTTTTTTAGTTATGCATTGTTAACTGACTATTTTGAAAGAAAAAAGAATCGAATATACCCAAGGCAAATCTTTGCTCCCAAGTTTCAAACCTGTTATAGTTGTTGTGTAACAACATGTAATTCTAAAAGAAATTGCTTTCAAAGTCATGCAAACCTGGATTCTGAAAGTATGTAATTTACATAATAATAATCAATCTGGTTATCTATATTAATATAGGAACTCAGGATATTAATATAGCGAAGATTTGCTCTTGTCTAATTATTTCAAAAAACTGGAAGAAAAAAAATCATTAACTGTGCCTTGGAAATGATGTGGGATATGGAAAATAAAAAAGAGACTGGTGAAATTCCTGAAGTAACCAGCAAAGAGGGAGTCTATTACTATTGAGTGTCTTGACTAAACATGTTAACATGACATTCTCAATAATATGAAGACTAGAAGTACAGTCTGAATTAGAACAGTACTTCAATTTCTGGCAAATCATATACTAATACCTATTAAAAAAATAAAGGGAAGATTACTATTCAAATTCCTGTATACGTAGTTGTCTTGTTATAATTTTCCAGAACACCAGGTGCTGATACTTTCTTGATTCTGTCAATTTATATTCTAGTAAGAAAGAGTGACTTTATTAGTATTAGGAGTTTTTTTTTACAGAAATTTTTTTTTACCATCACCACAACACTGACACAGGTTTGATTTTTTGGGTATTAGTATCACACATTGCAACACCTCATACTCAATGGGAAAACTACCCCAGGATTGCCATCAAAAAATTTACAGACACATGTATCCCTGGTGAGCAGACACCAGCAGTGATTCATTGTTTCAGACTTGGCAGGGGATTAATAGTACTATCAAGGGACACTCTCAAAGGGGAACAAAGAAAATTCGGGAACAACATCAGGACAAGTTGGCATAACTAATGGGTATAATACATCCAAGACATGCCCATTCTGTTTTTCGAAAATCATTCTCCATCGAACTCGTCAGATTATCAATGGAAAGGAGAAGATTGTCCGTTTGAATGGTGCCATTGAATGTGTCCATCCTGATGCTCAGCTAGAAGAATAAAGTACACAACATGAGGAAGGGATGTGAATGCAGCAGCAAACATTGCGAATGAAAAGGCCTTGTACTTGCTTTATCATCAATTGGAGAGCGAAAAAGATCGTCGCGTGAACGCTAGCAATGGGGGCGAATCTGGTGTGTAATAGCTTTGATTAAACGTGTTTCGGTGTGTTGCTTTTACTTTCTGGAGCATCAATCGTTCTATCTGCTGACAATCAACCACTTCCTCCTTTTCGTCGCAATGCCAATCACACAAGGTACAACCTTACAGAAAAACTCCACACAGTCGTGACACCAGAATTGGCTCCCCGCGGCTCCACTCGAGATGAGTGAATATGGGTAATAGTAAGGAGACTTCATTGATCTTTTTTAATTTTCGTAGCTGATTTTATTCTGTGTGTTTGTCGTATGTAAATCCCGTAACCATGTAAATCAGGTAACGGCATTTACATATGTAAATCCCGTCAAATGTCCCCAAAATTTCTTAGCAAGGTCCCTAAAATAAAAACCGCCTTTAACATGTTCAAAAACCATCGGTTAAGAACAAGTTGTATTTGTTATCGTTACCAAGC